TATAGCGTTGTTTTAGCGCGATTGCTGAAGTTGAGTGTATCGGTAAAGTTATATTCGGAAAGAATAAACCAGTTTTATTAAGTAAAGAACTTGTGTCGCTGAAGTTTTGTCGGAACGAAGTTACGGAATGTTAATTAACAAGCGGAGACGTAACAATATTTTTTCTAACAATATTCTTAAAAAAGATCAATTTATAATAAATCTAATAAATAACAAATTATTTTATTTATGAGCATTGTTTGAAATGATAAACATATCTAATAAGCAAGTATTTGCATCACTGGAATATTTTGCTGTCATCTACTGTTTTCACTACACCAAATTAAGCTGACCTGAAGTCTTGTCATAGAAGAAAATTTCCACAGCTTTCAAACAAATATAATTTAACATGACAACATTTTCAGCAATAAAGTAAGAACTTAAAGAAAGTATGAAAAAATCTCCTTAGACTTCTAAACTTCCCTGTTGTTCTTCCTTGTAGGAGTTATTTCTTGTCACTTTCCCATGAAACTAACTTATTTCTCACACCACTTTATTCATACTACACTGACATATAAAATTTATAATCTGCTATATTTATTGTGTTTAAACTTTGCCTATAACTGTTTTTATAGCTAAGCTATGTTACTAGTTGTTCAGATCAGTTGTAAAAAAAAAAGAGGCTGTCTAATAAAAGCAGTGAAAGAGAAGGAAAATCACATAAGAAACAAAATAAAATTTTCAAGGAATTACAGTTTCTTGGCAAAGATAAACCTACAATTTGGATGAGCAGCAAAATTCTTCAAAAATCAATAAGTATTTATATGTGAGACTAGTTGGAGTTGTGCACAAATGTATGTTTCAACTTTCTTTCATTTTTCTTCCCAAATTACACTAAATAAATGTTAAAAAATGAAAAATTATTGATTATAAATTATTTCAGAGTTAAAACTATCAAAATAGTTAAAATGATTATTTTCACTTATTACAGTTAAGAACACCTCTCAATTTGTACACACATGTATACATTTTTAAACTTAAAAGTTTACCTAGTGGTCATTGAAAATGTCTTTTCAATGTTTTCATAACTTTTAACTTTATATTGTCATCTTAAAGTCATTTTTAGTTTTAGTATATGCTTAACTTTTTTACTCTTTGTTAAAGTATTGGTCCACACAACAATATTCAAAGTTAGTTTCATACATAACTCTTATGGTTATAACTATTCTACAGATTCCAAGCATCTTGTATCAACCTTTCATTTAAATGTAGACATCTATTATCTTGTGATTTCAAAGGTGCCCAATAGTTGCCAGAAATGAATAATTTAATTTGGAAAGTATTGTATTTGTTGTTTCTGTGGTTATCTTTACATTTTTATATTGTTGAAAACCCACATGTATCAACATTTTAATAAGTGACTCACACATACATACCAGAAATATACACTACAAAAATTCTCAATGAACCTCAGAATCATTATCATATATAACACATTGTAACATTCAATACATTCAGTATTACATTTGGAAATCATATGTTCAGATACAAGTGTTTAATAATTATTTTAATACATTATATTAAGTACGTTCAGGCATAATTTCCATAGTACCATATAAATTAATTGTAAACAGATTAATTATCTTATATTCTATTATTACATTTTAATATGAAAAATTAAAATTTAGTTTGAATCTTTCATGAATCTTACAGTATGAAATCTATCATTTCCCAACTACTGCTGGGTTATGCAGTAATTTACAGCTCTAAGGTTACTCTTCACTATCTTGTGATTATAAACATAAATTGTACAAGAAATGTGTGTTATTAATGTAAGTAAGAATAAAATGCTTTTAACAATGATGTAAAATTCATTTGTCACCAATAACTGCAATTGATAATGAAAACTCCTAGACTAACTCAGTCCAAGGCTCAACAAAACATTTCTTATTAAGATCAGTTTAAAACCTATAACAATGCTAAATTCTCAACTTAACCCAATGTTAATAACATGGAAATGTACAAGAAGAAAATGTCACAAATTATCTTTTTATTCTATCATTACTAGAAAAAGTACAGGAATATTTAATTCATTTATCAGTAATACAAAACATATTATTACTATTAATACAGACACCAATACTGTCATGAGGCCTTTGGGGGGGGGGGGCAGTATTTGTTACATAAATAACCCTCAATTTCATTTTCACAACGTCCAAAATTTATTAGTTTACTTTGATCAGAAGTTATTAATAATTTTTAACATAACACACTGTTCTACTTTTGTGCAATGAAAATTCCAATCAAAGAAACATGAAAAAACATTATACTAAATAGAGTCACGTGCTTATTCTAGCTATTTGTGTTGCAGTGATAATGAACAGATTTTATTATAATATTCAACATGCAAAATAAAAATTAATTTGGAAATTTCAAATTTCTTTCTTTCAAAATACTTCTAAATTTAATTTTAATTTTAATTTGGGCACCTTAAAGATATTTTATTCTCCTGGCTTGCAAGGATAAAAATTAACTGTTTGTATAATGTATAATTTATACAATACATTTGCTGTCAAAGCATAACTAGAAGCCTCAAACTGAAACAGTATAAAAAGATGTTATTTCTTTACTACAGTAACATGATCCTAGTCTAACAAAGATATTTTGATCTCACTACAATGAATGAGTTCCTACTAATACTAGTGTATTTTATAATTAAATGCTCAAACAACATAAGAAAGCATTATTGAAGAAACAGCTAAAAAATTTGTTATTGCATAATATGCTATTTTTAAGAATTGGTGAAACTTTTGTACTACAGCACTATTTAATTGTGTACCATCCACAAGAACTTGAAAAACATAAAAGAATTAAAATATTTCATAATTTACACATTTCAGTGCTACTTCACTAGCTAGTGCCTGCTTACATTTGTAACACTAAAAACTACTAAAAATTTGAAATATTTTAGTTCACAACCAATAAATTGAAATAAAGACAATATTTCATAATTTACATACTTCAGTGCTACTTCAAACTTTAATAGCTAGTATTGCATATGTTAATCACAGTAAAAACTACTAAAACTTGGAATCATTTATTTCACAGCCAAAAAATCATAATAAAGACTGTTATTAAAACCATTGCTACTTTCTAGTACTCTCTAGCTAAACTGTTTACCACAGCCTTCAAATTATTAAAATACAAAAACATTCTTGGATTAGTTTAAATTTCCAGTTGCAGAGTTAAAAAGCAAATAATATCTATAGAAACTAAGTGAAATGTTTATAGCTTGCAAAGATTAAGACTACATTTACATGCATTTCCTGTTTAATATATAAATCCTTTTAGCTTCTCTATTTCAGCACTTAGTTAAGACCTTTTTTTTTTGTTCTAGAATTCATCTCCTACAGAAAATTAATCAAACAGACTGGTTGAAAAATATTTATAATGCTCAGTAAATATTTGTATTGCATGATTTCAATTTATCAACTTGGTACCAAATATTACTGTTAAATACAAGTTCCAATTTATTTGTGATTGCATTTTTTGGGAGGGAATAAATCTAACTTAGCTAAATAATAAATTGTTTTACAATTTTTTTTCCATGATTTTATAAATATATTGTTTCATAGTGTTAAGTAGGACACCAAGTTTATATAAGAAGATACGAAACTGTTGTATATTCACATTCAGGTAAAACAAACATTTTGTTTAAAAAAAAAATGTTAACTAATCAGAATAATTCAACTTACATAATTTCTTCTCTGCATAATCAACATTCGAACTATCTTCTCATTACCATTAACAATAAAATATCCTCCAAACTCCTGTGGAAATGTTTCAGTAAAACATAAACATGGGTTACAGACTGAAGATATAAAGTGATATATATGCAAATAAATAAAGATTTTAAATGAGTTATCTTGACAACTGATTAAAAGAATTGTTACCTAAAATAAAATAGATCAATTTGTGTTACATAAGAAATAAAGTTTTAACAACCAAGTTATATAAAAGATGTGTAAAAAAAAGGTTTCTAGTTATTTCTGATGAAAAATAAATGTTGTAGAGAATGTATTCAGTTTATAAAAGGCCAAGAAATTAATCTGTAAACTTTTATCTCTTGAATGTCTTCTTTAATATAAAAAATCATCACAGAATGAACACCTATTACAAGCAATGCATTTGTTCTTTTGCAGCCACTATAAAAACACTGATGTAGAACTAAACAAAATCGTTTTGTGGAAGTTTTCTAAAAGTTACTCATCTGTACAATAAAATAAGTAGCATTATAAAGGTGACAAAATAAATGGTGTTTTGACTGAAGTTCTACAATTATTTTTAATGATATAAAGAAATTTTGAAAGCTTAAAATTCAAAAACTGAATCACATATAAATAATTCTCAATAAAAAGCTTTAAAGTAAAAGTTACCATGAGCAGAAACATTTTCCAGTAGGTATTTGTATTTAAAACATTGTTATTAAGAGTACAGCTGAAAATGTTGTAAACAGTGAGAGTACCCTATTGATGAATATAATCATCATACATTTTTGTTTTATACTGAGACATCATCTACTCCATGTTAACTTGCCTAATAAAGTTGGCTTCATATGTTTATAGGTTACGTTTTAGTTTCAATCTTTATTGTTAGTTCACTTTTTATCAAAAGTTATATATAACTGCACACATTTTTATAAATATAATTTTCAAGAACATTACACAAGATGAAATGCATTTTACATTTGTTTGTTCTTTCCCAAACTAAGAAAAGTGGTTCCCAATTTTTGTAATTTTTAAGGTTCTGATAGATTTTTTTGGAATTAAAAATTTAGCAAATTCTATACTGACATATAATTTTTTTTTCTTACAGAAAAACAGAAAAGTATCAAGTAGATAGAAGGTTTCAGTTACAATAGCCAGTTTTGGAGGTCTTAATAAAGTGTGGTATGCAAGTATTCAATGTGTTTCCTACCTTCTTATACATAAAAATTATCGTTTGATTTAAGAATGTGCAGTTTTTTCATAACACATGATAAAGAGTGACATTCAGTTGATTTTGTTTTAGCTGTCTTTGTTTTTTCTTAGTCCTTTGGAGATAACATCTGGTC